GGGTGGTAATGGATTGGTGGGAACTCGTAGTGGTGGTTCAAGTCGTGGTCTTTTGTCACCGATCTCGTTGGTGTCTTCGTCCTCGTCACCACGCTTACGTATAATTCTAGCAACATGAACAGTGTTCATATCTGAGGTATCATCGTCAGACAGAACTTCAAGACTTACACCGTCGATAGAATCACGATATTCAACCAAATCGCTGTAGAGGTCACACCTTGTGCCGGCATCAGCAGGGTTCTCGGCAGAGGCCACATAGTGAATTTCAAACTGGCGTCTTCCCATAAGGTAATGAATAAGGTCGATAGTTCGTTGAAGTAAAGTAGATTGCTTACCAGAAGTAGATACCTTACCAGAAGTAGATACCTTACCAGAAGCTAGGGCAGCATTAGCTGTACGATTGTCGCCGTAGAGGATGATCTTCGAGAACTTCTTATTGGTATCGAGCTCGAAGGAGACAAGAGTAGAGAGAGCATTGTAGGCAGTAGTGAGTTCCTTCACGTTAATGTGCAAGGCTCGCTCTTGAGTGGACCATTTCCACTGCTTTTTGAATACCACTTGGTTGTCCTGCATGGCCACCATCGCTCCTAAGAGTTCAGAGGAGTCGAACCAGACATGAATAGGTGCATCTGGATTGATGTACCGGTGCGTCGGAGTTGGAGGGTTGGCCTTCAACAGTTGTTGCCATCTTCTGAGCAAGTCCATAGCCTTATCGTCCACATCGTCAGTCCATTTGTGGTCGTTCACAGCTCTTAATCTTGAAACTAGTGCAGTCAGGCAGTTCTTGATGATGAGAATGTGCCATGGTAATAGGTCCCAAGCCTGCCATAAAATATTGAGGAGTGATAGAGCTTTTTTATATGAGACTGTGCAGGAGATGTCGAAGTCGACGGCATCTTTATACTTGTAGGTAGGCAGTAGAAGAGAGTTACCATTATCGCAAAGCTCATGTCCGAGGACTAGTAAACCATTAGCATCAGGTCCGTTGAGGTCTTCGGTGGTTAGATACATACCGCAGCTTGCAAAGTGGGCCTTCACTTTTTCAATGTCTTCAGGCTGGCCACCAAGGTATAGGAAGTCGTCCATGTAGCTCACAAGTAATCCAGGGCAAGTAATGAGTCGTTCTAGTTCCCCGATGGCATGCGCAATGATGATCTCGAGGACTTGAGGATTAGTAGAATTACCATCACTCATGTAGGTGTAGGTCCAGTTTTTTCCCTTGTAGTTGATCTGACTGAGGAGTTGGACATTTGAACCGAGCTTGATGGATCTATAGGCATCCTTGATATCCATAGAATGAGCAGTAGCAGATGACCTGTACTTGTTGATGATGCGAGGTATCTTGGATTGGCAGTCCTTGATTGGGAACTTCTTGCTGGCCTTTTTGAGCAAGTCATTAGTCCTTATTGTAGGCTGTATAGGTCTAACCCGCTTGCGACCAGCACGCGGATACCAATTTGTAGTGTAGTTGTTGATATCACCAATACCAGTAGGTTGTAGTTTGCCTTCATTGATCAGGGCGTCGATGCGCTGTTCTGCTTGTTGACGCTCGTCAGTACTAGCTTTGATGAGGAAATAGTGAGTAGAAGGGACCGGTTTCGGCTGATTGTCTAGAGCTAGCCGCAGTAGTTGGTCACTATAGTCAACGAAATACTCTTTGTTACCATCCTTGTTAGAAAGGATACCAATAGTACACCATTCGTTGTTATAGATGGTTTCGAGTAGTTGATAGCCTTCGGGTGGTTTAGGGAATGTAGGTGGTGTGTAGCCCAGTGAATCGACGTCGTAGGAGATAGCGTCGTCCGAGTTTTGTTTAGAGGCCTTGCCTTTGAGAGCGGCGATATGATGGCCTTCGATAGAGTCATCTGATGATGCCGTTGATGAAGTAGGCGTAGATAGATCAGATGTAGTGGAGGTCGTGCAGTCGAATGTTGACCGGATAGGACCTTGAGTAGGAGTGGCTGTTGAGCAAATATATAGCTCTGACAATGATGAACCGAGTGGGCTCGTAGTTGATGTCGGAGACGTGATGCCTGATGACCGATATTTATCCAATGAATGAGAGCTACAAAGAAATTTTGAAGCTTGAACCAATGAACCATTGATGTTGATGAGCAAACCGTCGGCGTTGATCGAAAGGGTATCCATACCGAGGAGTCCATCAGAGTGAAGTAGTAGTCCGTCGTTGATGATAGACGGCGACCATGTGAATGTTGAGACTTGACGGTCTCCATCGCAGATGGGAAAGTTGATCTTGAGCTGGTAGAGTGAACTCATAGATCGAGTTGTAGTTGCAGTATCAAAAGAGAGCTTACAAGGAATGAGTTGGCCGTCAGGATAGTGCTGTAGTAAGGCCGTCGCAAGTCGCCAAGATATAATCGATCTTGTACAACCAGTGTCAGCAACGATGAAGAAGTTGTTGTCGGCACAGAAAGTAGACCTTAAGACCATGTCAGAACCAGGAGGCAGGTGATAGTCATATTTTTGGTGTTGTAGTAAACGGGCTACGTCACTATGCTTGTACTTGCAATTATCGGCATAGCGGCACTGCCTGCGAGCTGTCCAGGCCAAGCATATCCCTTGCTCTCGACAGAGTTTGAGAGTCTCGGGGTCTTCAACCCTAGGAAGCTTGGGATTAGGAGCCTTAGTAGAAGTAGCAGTTGATACCGGAGGGGCCTTGTTTGAATTAGCATTGCTGATGTAGAGCTTTGGATTGCAGCGGATATGGCTACGTAGGGCTTGCGTAAGCTGTTGGACATCATCGATGGCCGCGTAGTTCTCGTCTGCAGTCTTCCTCAGAGTGGGATGGAGGCCTTCACGATAGTGTAGGTTGATTTGACTGGGTTGTAGATGGAGGCCAACACTCGCACACATAGCAACAGCAGATTCGATACGGTCGAGGTAATCGTAAATGTTGATGTCACCATTGTCCATCTTAACGTCAGAGAAGTATCTCATGACCTCCGCATGTGAATTTGACAGAGAGTACTTATGTTGAAGATAGCCAAGTGCTTGTGATAGTGTCAGAACATAGTCGTTCAAGTAGAGAGTCGGGTCCATAGTAGTTTCCAAGTGGATCTGTAAGTTCCTCTTGACTGACTGGCTAAGACAGTTGGATAGGTAGATATAAGATAGTCGAGGGCCCAGCGCTGTTTGCTTCACTTCACAGCGGACAAGACTTAGGAAGTAGTTGATACTCCTGTTATCAGAGTTTCCCTTGTACTGTTTGTTGTCGGGGCACTTGATATGGGAAACAGCATTGATGGCCTTCGTTGTATCAAGCGCCTTCTCCTTATCATAGTTGTGGGATAGATCACACCAATACGCCACGTTGGTGATGTCGTTGTTACAAGGGTGTTGTTGACCTTGCATGAGAGGGGCCTGGGGCACTCCTTGAGGGTAGACCTGCACAGTGGCAGCAGAAGATGTAACCTGCTGTGGATGTACTGTGTTTGCTGGCCTTCGAGAGAGGCTTGCAGCTTGAGAGTTAGGGCCTTCGGCGTCTATATAGGTGAAGAAGGTACGTCGTAGATAGACCTTCTTACTAAGAGGTTGGCCTTCCATGGCAGTCTCTAACTCAGCGGCAGATAACCATAGTAGTAGTGAGGGTTCAGCAATACCGAGGACTTCAAGGAGCTCAGCCAGCGGGTTCTCCACCATGTTAGTAGTAACACCCGCACTGGTTGACTCAACAACACTTGGGATAGCCATAATAGGTAATAAGGCTTCTTATCTTATCCATTTCAGCCTGAGGGCTGCGAGCCGTTTCATGCAACGAATAATGGGCGAGCGAGATTCGTGCATACGCGCGCGAACAGTGACCCACCGTGGGTCTCGTGCGTGTCTTCTCAATCTTCCCTCATCCATAATTTTAACTCCTTTTCCAGCCCACCTTCCAGACTACCGTGGAGGAAATGAGCGAGTCGGCATTCAGCTCCGCAACTCGGGCTCATCCCGCTGTACAGGATTATAGACCTTACCACAGTTTGCAGCCCTGCCTAACGGTTTAACGCCGGCTTAACGTTGTTTTGCACGGGACGCAAGATTCAGTTTGGTGGTTGGACCTGCCTTCTGCTGTGTTCGGTGGGAACTGCTCAGCCAATTTCTGGTTGTAGGGAGTCGAGAGGTGCTGTCCAACTCGGACGTTGCTGTCGAAATATCCCCCCGTACGTCAAGAGGCTCTTGAGGTGCCCGTTTCCCTGGCAAGTGACCGGCGTGACGCGTGACACGCGTCGCGTGACCGCTAGAGCATCTGTCACCCCAGCTTCCTGGGAGCTAGCCGAACTCAAGCCTGGAGGACTTTCCGATGTGCGTTGATAGATAGCAGTAGTAGACGATTCCAGATTGCTCATTAGAAAGCATATGGAAAAGGCTACAAGATCAACGGCTTAATGACAGTAATGGAGAAAAAAAGAGACGGCGAGAGCCTGACAGCAGCAGCCGTCTCATCTCAAAAACGATCGATGGCGAGCGAGCGCACGTATCGTGACGCTGCCTCATCATGTTCAGCGTAAACCCGCTAAATATCTTCACTTACGCGTGAAGGTACTATGTAGAGCCATAGGGTGACAGATCCCCTACTTGGATCTCCGTCTGACTTCTCTCAAATTTAGAGTATAAGCAACCTATCACGTAGTTACTTTGTAATGACGTAGGGGAGGTACGCCGTAGTGACTATCACTCATCGGCATTGCGAGAACGAAAGTAATTAGGCGTGACTTCAGTGGAGTCATTCCACGCTGCGAAGTTCGCAGTGCGAACTGCATCCGGGCTTCTTGACAGCTTTTCGTGTAGTTGTTCTATCATCCCTATCCTCCATGTGGGCTTCTACAAAACTCCTGTGTCTGTACTCTCTCAGTGTATCTAGTGATGCAGACCACCCGTTGCAGTTCTACAAGCAAGTGACAGCTCCTTGGAATGTCAAAGAAGAGCCCTACATGTGGAACCGTTCGATTCCACATTATCAAAATTATACTTGGGAGGACTATTTCGACTACGTCATGAACTCTGGTGCTAACTTACAGCTGGGTGGATATGTTTTGGTCCCGAAAAGCGAAATCTGGGAGGGTGTCGATAGAAATCCTTGGAACAAAACTGCTTTCGAAGCTTTGAGGAAGCGAGCGGATGCTGCCGGCAAAGTGATAATCGCCCAGTTCGAAACAGAGTTCCAAACAACCCTCGACAAGGCTACCTTCATGAAGTCTGCCAGAGAGTTCCTGAAAGATTACCCTGTTGACGGTTTCGGTTTGAACTTTCCGGTATGGCCCAATGAATACCAAGTTAGGAGGGATTTTTTTGCGGCTGCTAGAGAGCTCAAGCTGCGGACGTCGTTATCGTGAGTCAACAAATACCTCGGCGCACGGGAATCCTGTTGTGATCACTGGCTTCAGCAGTTGCTTCGTCTTGTTAGGGTCTTGTCGTCTGATTTGCCAAAACTCGAACAATCCGGCCTAGGGAAGGATATTGATGAAGTCGTAGTCACTCCGTGGCCAAGTAGCGAGAAAGAGTCCATAAAAAGCTTCAATACGGACAGTTTCGCCGAAGACGTTATCAAAGGTGCCGTCAAAGCTGGTGTAGATCTCAATAAGCTGATTTTTCGCGTAAGTGTATACGACTCCTACTATCTTCAGTACCTTGCTGTTTTCCTGCGATAGATAGTTTTCTGTGGAGTCACCCTCTGCATTGTTGGCGCGTTCGCTGAAACAGACCTCACACCTACTGTGTGGCGTGAAATCCAGTGTTGCTTCTTAGGTACCACTACTCGCGAAGGCTGACTACGGTAGCGCGGACATGTCATACGCGAATGCGATCTACGACCTTGGTGCGGACCCTAGGGGAAACGGATCATTCCTCTACTCGGGGGGGTTCGGTTATTATTTCTTTTCACAACCTCGTGCAAGTGAGAAAGTTGCCCTGGCCAAGAAGTACGGACTGCTCGGCATTGGACTACAAGGCGGCAAAAATTATGTCAATGATCTGTACCCTTGGGACACGGACTCCTTGTTTCACGCTATTGCTTAAACTCCCGGACGATCCCTCACAGAGTAGTACGCAGGTATTTCTAAGGGCGCCTGAGAGGTAGCCTCTCAAGCCGAGCTCTTATCATATTTTACTTCAATGTCCAGTGGCAGGGTGTGTCTACGACTTTGGATGCATGATACGTGATGCAATAACAGCTGCTGATTGTCATTGATCATTTTTCTTCCCGCCTTTTTCACATCGAACTACCGCTAGCTCGACAACACTGCTGCCCATTATATCCCTTATTGCGGAAGAAAGTTTCACTTCTCGCGGGAATGTACTTGAGTTGGAAGGTTGAGAAAGTTTGTGATGCAGTTCCTCAGAAACTGTTGCGACGCTGCTGTTTCATTAACCGATATATTCAATCCACCACTGGTGGACCACCAGATTCGGTAATCGGCCTGATTCAATGAGTTTCAGAAGAGAAATCGCTACTCAGTAGATGAGCAAAGTTGTCTCTCCACCAAAGAGCCGACTGAAGGGATTTGTCGTCAGCGCCAGAGTTTTTGGGTCAACCACGAAGTCGCGCGCCCAAAGATGAAAGTTTTCGGAAAACTCATACTGTATGAGTACTCGAGATATCGTCAGATTACGTAATCATGAGCAAGATTCTTGATCCTTGGTTTTAATCAGCCACTGAATCTGATTTTTGGTCGTCCATGAATCTCAAGGTGAGACTCTCACCTTGAGTGTGAAGCTCACACTGCTATATTATTACCAAGTATATTAGTACTTTATCCAGCTTCATACATTGCTATCTGTCCGAGGATCCTAGCGTCTCCCGGAGCGTAGCGACGGGCTTCCACTAGTAAGGCTAATAGCGAGACGCGCTAAACGAAGTTCCACCCCGGAACTCCCAACCTCGCACGATGCAAGTCGCATGCGTCCCCGAAAGGGACATAATTGTGTTTCACGCAAGTGCAAGAAGAATCCTGACGCACAGTGACCAATAATCCACTATAGTTCCCGAATAATATTCATTCCTAAGATTCTAACTTGCGACATCCAAGGTGAGGACGTTTTAAAGCGAAGGAGCTAAGTTAGTTCAACTAACGTTTGCCTAAAAACGTCGCGAAATAACCTAAGTGAGGTAGGGACTTTCCGATGAAAAAATCTTATAGTCAAAGTTGCCCTAATTACAGGAACCTTGTAGAGTGGGTCCCCGAGTTGGCGAAACCTGTATCACCATCATCATGCGCCGTGAACTTCGCGCACGCCCGAAGCGAAAGATCGCCATCGACCAGACGACCCTTGCGGTGTGCGACTACTATATTTTCAGTTCGGTGGTTTTCTGTGTGCATTAATCCTCCAGTAACTCGCGCCGCATTACTCAGCAAAGGACGTGTTTCACCTGATGTCGCAGGATGAGTAAGAGCATCTCAGAGATGATTAGTCTATCTGGCGCATTTTGAGCACGTACGGGCAGATCAGCGATTTTTGATCATTGGCTTGGAATGTGGAATCTCAGTTAACTAAGGATGCGAGGGCCAGCGGGGGTAGCTTGTTAACGGTCTTCAGGTCACCCACCGTGCCCAACACCGATGTAGCCATAATTCGTGTTACTGTGCAGAGGCTACGAGACTTTCAACTCTCAATCGACGCCCCTAGAACAAGGTGATAGGCGAAGAGCTTGATCCAACTCGATGGAATGGTCTCTCCTCTCAGGCTGGAGGCATTCCAAGGAATCACTTCCTGGCTGCGGTCCTTGGCCAGCACTCGTCGTAATGCCGGTTCTGGACCTCCGGAGATGGATCAGGCCTTGAGAATTCTCCTGCGTTTGAGATATACATGTCGATTCGCTGACATTAGGAATGCGGCTGATGTAAGATGGTAGAGAAGATACAGATGTCCGCTTCGTGTTGTCGGTTGCCGAAATTGTCCCGTTGCTGCCAGAACTTCCTAGCTGCTCAAAGGAATTCTGGTATCGCGGTCGCGGCACGTTACATCGATACAGAGGTCAGCAGATTTTGCAAGAGTAAGCGGATGAATGATATCTCATGCCAACAAGCCAGAATTCTCAGATCCCCATCTCGTGACGGTGCCAGCTGTGGACTGGTCGCTGTTTGACTCTTCCTCGGCTGCCAGGATAACGCACATAGTAGTAGCATCGTTTTGGGTGCGGTGCGTGCGCACTTTTCTCTGCAACACAGGAATGGGCTTTATCGACCGTGCCTCGATTCTATGTGAATTACGCTAGAACTATGGATATCCTCATGTTCCAAGAGGGAGGGTTACAGCTCCACTGGAGGTAATCCCCTATACTCTGTATATTCGATTGTAGTGATCTATGCCTATCATCTTAGACATTTTATAGCAATGATGGCAGCATCAAGACACAACTGCGAGTATCTGGTTCGGAATCAGATGGAACTCTTCCTGTAGTCTCAATGATTAGTGCCGCATGAAGATAATTGTTTAATCATAGTGCATCTGGTGGTGACGTTGCTTGGCTGACGGACCCGACGACTATCCCGACGCAGCTGAGAGCCTTACATGTATTTCCAATTTGATATGTCTTTCGACCGGGCAAGTACATGTTTATTCCAGGACGTGAACCTCATACTGTGTCACAAGCCCTGGGATCTCAAACAACGCCATATGGAAGATTTGCTCCAAGTAGCTTGCTGCTAGTGTGCTATCGATGTCGTCAAGACTTTATCGGCTCTCAGGTTTGGTCAAAAGCCGACTTGGTGGTTGCTCTAGCTATACTCAGGTAAGTGGAGAGTTTTGCTATTAATACCCTTAGCATCAGCATTCTGACTCCGCTAGTCTGCTATCTCTTCTCAGTACTTTCCACACTCTCCCTGTTGTTGCATTCGGCCTCGGTCTGGAAGTGGAACCAGACCTTCGTCTCGAGCCTGACGAAGTGTTTTTCGATGATCCTCCGTACGATCCTGATGATGAGGGAATGCCTAGGTAATAATGCGCTCGATGTCTAGCAGCGATGAGGCGTCGCTTCAAGTTGTTTCCTCGATAACACTGGAACGGTGCCATTCACTGCCCAGAAGCTCATAGAGCATGGAGCGAGAGATTCAGACAACGACTCGGAGTCCCAACCTCCCGTTGGTAGGAATCATAGTAGTCATATTGGCCATACTTCTACGCACTTCATGCTTAGAGTACTTAACAAAGGATCCAGTTACGCGAGAGGACTCTCATCCGTCCATTGCTAAACTCGCGGAGCACTATTGGATGTTCGGGTCATCCCCGAAGGCACGAGAATCAGAGGTAGTGTAGACTGAAGTGGTTCAGTCAAGTATCCTCGCTCGATTCGGTCGATAGATGGTTGTGTTGGAGATGGTTTTCTCTTAGACGAGTCGTCCGACATCATCGTCATCTCAAACGAAAACTCGACATGCTGGTGGGAAACAGACTCAAAACGTGAGTTTACGCATTCTGAATATTTTCCGGAATTAGCTTTGAGTCTCGTCGGTTGACTATTGCCCCCCCCCCTCAGACTGACTCATCGTCGCAAGCCTCTTCGTCGGCTCTTCGTCTTTCTGAAAGGAAGAAGTCTAACTTGAGTTTGGTGATGAATGCCTACCCGCGTATCCGAGCACCAAGTTGCGAGCGGTATTATCAGGCCATTCAAGATTCGTACATGACTTCCTGTGCGTGCTTGCAGGTTCCGGCACCCTTTTCATTCACCGCAGAGTAGAGTAGGGGAGCGGGAAGATTGGTGGGTGCACTTCCTAGCCTCTGAGTACTCCTACTGCTGGTTTCATTTTCAGTGGACAATGTGGGAAGGCTTTGCATTATTTCGACTTCGATGTTCGGGGATCTAAAGGCATACCGTGGGACTCGCAGTTCTCTTGGGACGAGCAGGCTCGTGTCCTGATGAACCACCTCCTGTTGGATGGGTCACTCACGGACGCCATAGACCGAGAGTAGTGTTTGCTCCAGTGCTCTATAATCCAATGCAATGGAGTGGTGTTGACTCATCACTGGTGAGGAAAATCTGCCTGCCGTCAGGTATACGGAAGCTTTAGAATCCGCTACGGATCATATTGGGCCACGGCGTGTTCCCAGTACGCTTCCCCTACGTCAGGCTATTCTGGTCTATGTGCATCAAATGTACGGTATAGCCCATCACGATTACGATTATACTCAGCAGAATAAGGTTAGTCGCGAATTCTAATTTCTCACTTGAGGTCGCTCTCCTCTAGTTTTTCACGTTGCTGCAGAAGGTTGTATTGAAGAAACTAGTGTGCTACCCAGAGCGGTTTTCTAAAGCTGATTTCGGTCGCTTCATGGACATCGAACAGTTGGAGTTCTGGGAGATGGCAGACTATGTTTATCTTATATTCCAAGGTACGACTCTCTTCCTCGGCTATTACATCTTTTCCCAGTCGAGAAATAAAGTCTTCTTCTCAGCCCGTCGCGTGGTGGAACTGACGTACGCTCTGCGAGCTCTCAACGAAGCTATGTCGGCCTTAGATAGTCAGCTGTGCCAACGATAGGGTTGTCTCCTCGAAGGTTGCTTGAAGGAACTTCCTTCTCCAGCTCTACTGAACGCATTACTGAAACTTGGTTGAGGCACTGTGTCGTCTCGCCTATGCAATCGCGGGCGAAGGGGACGTACGTCCTCGGTATACCATCGCCACCATGGTTACATTTATGACCCCCACCATCGTTTCACTAGTATGGCTCGCCAATCACCGACGACACTTATTCGACGTCATAATTATGTTATCTTATAGACACTTGATGAGGGCGTAGTATCAAGTTCCCTCAGCACAGGTGTGGGAATGTGTAACAAGGATATGGCTATGAGGTGTGGAGTTCAAAGTTCCAAGATTTTCAATTCTAGAATGTTAGCGATATAATTGATCCACAGATTGGAAATGTAGGGAATAGAAGGCAAGTCTCCGCGTGGGATGTGCGTGAGTCTCGACAGTTCATCATGTCTTTCTGCGGCGGATATGTAACTCTCTCAGTTCTTTTAGGGTTATGTCTCTTGCATGTCGGGTAGCTTCACAATTATCATCGATGCTCTGTAGGGCGAGAGTGTCTAACGGTGTGCAAAAGCTCATCACACCTCAACGTGAGCCCCTTCCACTTGTTTCTCTCTTCCTGCTTGTCTGCCTGCAGTGTGTATCAATATTTGCTAGATCTCCCCGCCCCCACACTCCTCGGTCAACCACGAACTGAGGTGTTGCCGCTCCGAATATATACCGGTGGCAAGCCGAACTATCGGAAGAGAGGACGGTGAGTATCACATTTTGGTATTGACTCGATGAAGGCGAATCTCCAAGCGTTGGCTCTGCTTCAATCAGGCGCAAAATGGGTATGGCGAACACCAAATCCAGGAGGCGGACATGTATCTTCGGCCAATTACACAGCTAGCTCATGCATAGTAGAGGATTGTTCGTTTCTGAAATCTGCATGTTTTGTTCCGATATTGCTGTGGGGTTGCTAGTACTTCACATTCATATCTCACAGCGAGGGAAATCGCGGGCATCTACCTGATGCATTGGATGAAGAATGATTATGTAAAATGCAAATGATCAGAGAAAAATTTGAGGGTGAGGGGTTGTTGGAACAACACAATTGCGGAGCATTTGCGTGAAAACTTAGTTTAATGGTGGCTTTTGTGATGTTTATGGTACTTGTACGCTTTGAACGGGAAATCCACAGATTTTTCTATCCGCCTTGCTGGATACAGCCAGTTGAAGAAAATGCACATCATCCTAGAGAATACAACCATTAACACACATATCTGAGAAGAAACACCATGATGTATTCACTTAGCGCCTGACTTCAATCCACACGCATAGGGAGCAGCTGGCCAATGGCTACCTTTCCAAGAGCTGGTCCAGTGGTATGCATAAGCCTGATCCGCTGCTTTAAAGTCATATCCGGAGTATCCATCACTTTCTTATACACATCAGCCGTTCGTCGAGCCACATCGTTCCAACTGTACATTTCAGAAACCTGTAGTAAGTCCCAGATTTCAACAGAATAAATACTAATGACATACTTTTTGATGCTGATCCCACCGGTCGCGGTATGGCACATCCTCCGAAATCGTCTCTGATACAGCTTCTACAAACTTCTCCGCATTCGGCGGGCACAGCCGGATCATCGAGGGAGGCAAAACTTCGGGTACACCGCCAACATCAGTAGAAACAACCTGAGCGAAGTCTGTGAAGGAAATTGCTCTCAATCCAATATCGCGAGAGTTGACAGCGACCCCCATCGATAGGTATCGGCCAGATGGAACTGTAAATCATGCTTACACAGAGCCCACAGCTGGCCGCCTCCACGATGGCTATGCAGAAGGCTTCGGTGAGACTGCAGTTGAGGAATATATCCCCCCGAAGGAGGACGTCCCGAACTTGAGAATGGGGGACCTCGGGTCAGCGATTTAGCATAAGGCATGTTGATCGCGTGTCACACCTTGCCTAGAAGCTCAGTCCTATCGTGTAGCTTGTGCCGCTCCAACATTTGCTCGATGTCCATTCGTTTCGGTCCATCACCCGCGATGATCCAGTGCACCTTGAAATGGTGGTGTGACTCTCCCAACTAGGAGCAATCAGAAACTCACATGGGGGAACCGCCGGCTGATCTCCGGCATCACATCAATGAGGATATCAATTCCCTTACGGAAAGTGAGTCGCGATACAACAACAATTGTAACCTGAGGAGCGGAATCATTCTCAGCACCTACACTAGTGATTTTGAGCAGTTGGCTACAATGATACCCCATACGTATGGTGGTCAGAGGAGCTTACCGAGTCGTGCTGCAGCGGACCAACTCTCGGTGATGGGTTGGGTGTAAACCGAGAAGCATCAACAGCATTAGGGATGACCTACGATAGAGCCTCGGCGTCATCTAAACCGACTTCCTCGCGTTGGAGTCCTACGCTGACGTCATCAGGACGAATTGCTGCCCGCAGGATCAGATTCTCCTTGTTCGTGTGCGAAACGCAAATGCAATGATGAACCTAGGAAAACTAGAGACATAACCGCTGGAGAAGCCGCGCATTTCTTACGTCTGTCAAAAACACTTTCAGCACCTTGTTGATCGCAATGCACGCCGCATCGCCAAAACCGAACAGACTGTGATCAGTGTAGACCTAACACCGTCGAGATCAGAGGAAGAGGCAAGATGAACCATCATCTACTGTCTTATAGCCCATCGTTCGAGCATGGAAGCACATCTCTTGACACAACGCGGAGGTAGCCTGATGGCCGTGTACCTATGGATACACCGTAGCACTGTGGAGCGGGAAACTCGGCCATACTATATCGATACGTTCTCGAATTAGAATCTGCCGCATCAGACCGAAATATGTTATGAAAGCCGGAGGTGTACCTGAGTCGACGAGGACGTAGAGTGAGCGATAATGCCTATGCTGTACACTGGTCGACGAAAGTCTTGTATGGAAGGTAGTACGCCTTCAACCCATTGGTCATATATCTGACCTAAAAACGTCACCAGATGAGGTGGTCCACATATGCTTGAGCGAGCCCATTACTCAGTGGCTTACTCCTATTCTATCTCCTCGGTAGTGAGTAATAACTATGACGTAAAACCCTAGATCCATGAGGCATTGGCTCAGCTGATAGATATGCATCTCGACGCCACCTGACCCGACACGACTCCCAATGAGTACGAGAAGGTACTCATATCGAAGCATCCGCCCAAACGATGGATTGTGCAATCCAAGTGCGCGAGGTAGACCGCCGTAGATTCATTACCGAGTCCAGGGTAGAAAAAATCCGATACCATAGCCACTCGGGGCCCTTTGCACTGTCGATTTCTCTGTCGGCGGTGGTGTATCTGAGCTCGGAATACCTATCTAGCAGGTAGTTTAGCTCCTCATAGTCTTACAAACACGATTGAACGTATCAACTAGATAGCGAATAGCGAAAAACAATGAGCCCTATCGAAACCCTTCAGTACCGTATCCACACAGCAGTGTCCAGTTGAACACTCCGAAGAGTGCCTTACTTCGTCCTGCGATGATGAAGACGAGGGCTCTTCAGACATTCCGGTAGATCAGCTAAGAAACGTATGGTCGTCTCGTGCAAGAATTCCACTATTTGCCCTGAGCAGCGAGATAGTATCCGGTCCTACACTCCCTCAACGTGAAAATCATGATACTGGAACACAACAGAGGTAGAACGAGGATACGCGTCCTTTATAGGGCATCGATACTTCCAGCAAGACTCTCGCGCTATAGTGGGAAAAATAGCTCGCACTACCCGCATTCTCAGCACAGCTGCTTTATGACATTCCGGAAGTTCCTGGAAAGACCTTGAAAGGAGGCCTGTGTAACCGAACGGTGTCTCTTCAGATAGTCAGACTATGATAGTCTCCTGTAATGCGAAGCAACTCTTCCGTGAGGAGTGCTTGAAGCACTGTGCTTCACCCTACTGGATGGAACTTCGAGCTTCCTCCCTATCGTTTTCTGGCTATCTTTCTCTTTCTGTCCGACACTCATCACACCACGGAGGGTGACAAGGGCAACAACTGTACATTGCACAATGTGCAGGAGGATGTGAACGTGGCACCCTCGTCCCTAGAAATTCCACACCTGTGATGAGCTTGGGCATAACCAAAACCTGACATGATACGATACGTGAGGGAGAGCATAATCATCACATAGAGTCGCTTGGCCTCCGCGAGACAGAATACCATCGGATCCCGTCAACATGCGGAAGAGGGGGGCTGGGGTTATCAACACTGAGTTTCCCAACACTAAGTTATGATAGCAGAGTTTCCCTCTGTTAAAATTATACTTCGTAATGCATGACAGAAGATCTTCATCAGGATTGCGAGAGTTACGCAATTCACGACGCCGAAGAGAAGAGTCTTTCTTATTTGAAGAAGCAGTATTACTCACCCCCTCAAACGCACCACTTTCTCGATGATTAAACACAATAATCGTCAAGCAAAACTCACATTTCATACTTGTAAATCCATTCTCAGAGACAGATATTACTTCAAGGACTGCTCAGGTGCTCGTTTCTTTACTACGTGTACTATTCAATGACTTGTTCAAATCTACTACACCATTGTTCGTGCACAAACTCTGTGGTGACATCACATGACAGCGCTGCCGCTTCCAGTGGAAGCCTTCCGCCAGCGTAACATAGGCTAACAAATCTTCATTTTCGACATGTTTTTTGAGATCGTATCATCGGAATCCTCGACCGCGATCTCAACAGAGATCTTATCTACGACTTGGCACTCTCGACAAATCTCACGTTTGACTCGACCTCATCTGCGCGCTGACCTGCTGGCTCGTCAGGGGCTTGACGTGCTGGATCATCAGCGAGTTGACCTGCTGGCTCATCAGCACCTTGACGTGCTGGCTCATCGACGAGTTGACCTGCTGACCCATCAGCTGGCAGGTTTGCTGCCTCAGCAGCGAGTGGATTTGCTGCCTCATCAACCGGCTGATGCTCCAGTTCAGCCGCTGCCTCGCCAACGGGCTCAGCTGGCGGCTCCTCAGCTGGACCGTCCGCTGGGGCCTCATCCTCAGGCGCGACCCAACCATCGGGGAATAAGTCAAGGTCGACGTAGAAGTCAGCCGGTATGGTAATAGGGTTGAGGGGCTCAATGAGATGCTGGCCAAATGAACGGATATTCTGCCGATCCCGAAGGATCGGTTGGACTTTAAGGTCTGTTATCTCAACACCAATCGTCTCTCAAGGTAGTGTTTCGTCCTCACCACAGGGACTCATCAGTGGCTAACGGCGCCAGACACACCTTAAGTGCATCCCATACAGGTGGTTATCCACTTTACCCACAGGTATGGTACCTAACCCTAGCAGTTTACTATCATTAAGAGAGCAATTCCAGTATAGGTCTGTTACCAGGATAACAACGATGCATAATAAGGTATGAGACTAGCTGACCGTCACATTCCCCCATTACTAGTCGTTGCGTCCCGAAACGACCTTACTGGTAACAGCGCAACAAATACCATAAAGACCCGAGAACGTGAGAAACAGTTAAGTAGGAACTAAACAATCACCTAACTGCCATTCACTTTTAAGATGTGTTTTAAACACTTCTCTCGGTCATTATGCCGCTCTTGAAGCTAGCCCAGCATTCAGCACATCCCCAAAGTGCTCTCTTACTTCCGGTTAACGGACAGAGATCATCTTCGCCATCGACCACCACCTCTTCTCCATTGCATTCTCCTCTCAAGCGATAAAGATGAGGATCCTCACCATCGGCATACCAGTCGTCTTCAACACTGACGACAAGATACTTCTGGCGACTCTGACGGTCGACGAACTTTGACCACTCTAACACTTTGTCTCCAGGGACGATAGCCATGTGTTCAACACAGAGATGCTGAATCCCAAACTAACCCCACTATCACCAACACAATGCTACAAGTCACCTAACTAGTGAGATTAACTCATTCGCCTTTCCTCAGTCTCTTGGTCGGCTGCAACTTGTTGTCTCGATCTCCTTTCCACCGCTTCAACGACGTCGCATGGGCTGTCATCTCCAACTTACCGCCTTCCACTCGGTGCACCGGCTTCACCCGATAACTAGTTGGGGACAACACCTTCGTCACTAGATACACCCCATGGAACTTGCGCTCCTGGAACTTAGACCCCTTCTGTCTGTAATCCTGACAATCTCGCCGTTGGCAATATCACCAAAAACTTGGTCCAGAGGAACGAAGAAGCTTTCGTACCTCCCACGATCATCGACGATGTCCATTCCAACGATGTGGACAATCGCCTGACGCTCGTCGGACTCGTGAAGAGAATTCATGGAGGAAGGTGTTGGATGGATAGTGTGTACGGAAAGCAAAGTAGCGGATTGGTATCTCTAGCGACTCGCTAGACGAACCTCCCTCGCTAGTAGCGAGGGAGGCTAAATGGTAAACTTAGCCTTAGTGGTAAACGGAGTAAGCTTAGCTTACGTGGCTCGCGCCTCAACCATGCTGGTATCGTGAAGATAAAAAGTGTACTACGCTGCGAGTGGCTGATAAAAATAGAATCACTATGAAGGAGAATACGGTAACAAGCCATGGATGATGAGGGCTCCGATCAAGGGCTCACTGACATGAAACGGGAAGCTAATACATCAGTAATACCTGATGTATCAGCTTCCATAGATTGCTTACACGTACTATGTGCAAGCATTGTCCATGAATCATGGATCATGACGAGTCCTCGGGTGAGCATA